ACATACGAGGCATTTTAATGTCAATATTTACAATAGAAGCTAATTTTGAAACAGTTTCCATTATTTCTTTGAAAGAGTTATCGGCATCATTTCGAATACTTTGTAAGGCATTTTTTACTTGTGTTACGTTAGCCAAAGCATTGCATACGTCTTGTTGCTTACCTTGTAAAAGTTTGCTCAAATTAAAARTATAAGAAAAACATTTAGCAGACACTTCTAAAGCAATAATAAAATCCGGTTTTGTTATGGCACTTCCATACAACGTAGCTTTCGTTGATGTTTCTGTATTGGTATCATGCTCAAGATCTTCTAGCGTAGAAACAATGTAAATATATAGTTCTTTAAAAGTTAATATAGCGTCGTGTCGCTCTACCCATCGAGTTTGGCACAGTTGTTTCAGCTTTTTCTTTTTAACAGTGTTAACATCTAAAGTCGTTTCAATAATATATTTTAACTTCTCGGTTCGTTTGGAAGACGAAGAAAAAAATGTACAGATAGTTCCAATTATACCATTATACCATTCATATTTTTTATAGCCGATACTTCACATGCTTTTGATAAACATAGATTAAGGGAGTGACTGAAGCAATGAGTATAAAAAGCCAAAGGATATTCATTTAAAATTAGTGCTTGAACACCGTTATACTTGCCAGACATGTTTGATCCCCCATCGTAACCCTGTCCTCTTAAGTTATCAAAACTTAAACCAACTTTTTCTAGTTCATGTTTCAATGTTTTTGTTATTTCTGACCCAGTAGTTGAAACCATTTTTACAAAACATAAAAAATCTTCTCTTATGACACAATTTTTTAAGTCAACATAACGTACGCATATTGTCATTTGTTCATTTGTACTGATATCGGTTGTTTCATCACATAAAATCGAAAAATACTTAGAAAGTTTTACTCTATCAACAATTTTTTGTTTAATCACAGAACCCATTGATTCGATAATTTCATTTTGAATAGTAGAGCTTATCATTGTACAATTTTTAGCAGAAATATCAAAATGAGACTTAAGATCTCTGTCACCAGATTCCATGCGAAAAGACAATAAAGCTCGGAAAATTCCTTGATTACCCGATAAACAATCTTCACGTACATTATCAAATTTAAGTGAACCGGACTCTCGATGACCACGTAATGGCAAGTTATTACGTGCGCAAAAAAGTATAGTTTTAATTATAGGTATAAGTCTCTTACGATTGTGTTCAATTATTTCTTTTTTTTGATTGCTGAGAAGTACATTTACCGCCGTTTGSTCTCCATTTTCATAGTTTTTTAAGAAGTCTTTTGCCCTTTCACTAGATATCATATGATATTTGGTTTTAGAATGTTCATTTAAATCAGCCATTGCATTCTTATACTTGGTCATCGGCTCTCTTACTAGGTTCTTTAACGGCTACAAGAAATAATTATAAAATTACTATATTTATAAATAATCAAAGGAAATAATTTTTTTTCTGTGTAATATACCTGGTTGCCTGATCCACCGCCTGAAAAAGCAAATACAACACACCATTTGCAATAGGCTCCTTTATTAATCTCACTATAAGCTAACCATGGAAATATTTCTAAATACTTATATTGAAATTTTCTATTATGTTTGCCTTCTGTACGTATAGGAA